CAGTACTTTTTGTGTTAACTCTAGATTTGCAGTACTTTTTGTGTTAACTGTAGCTCTGCAGTACTTTTTGTGTTAACTGTAGCTCTGCAGTACTTTTTGTGTTAACTCTAGATCTGCAGTACTTTTTGTGTTAACTCTAGACCTGCAATATTTTTTGTGTTAACACTAGATCTGCAGTACTTTTTGTGTTTAATCTAGACCTGCAGTATTTTTTGTGTTAACTCTAGACCTGTTAACTCTAGATCTGCAGTACAGTTTTTGTGTTAACTCTAGATTTGCAGTACTTTTTGTGTTAACTGTAGCTCTGCAGTACTTTTTGTGTTAACTCTAGATTTGCAGTACTTTTTGTGTTAACTGTAGCTCTGCAGTACTTTTTGTGTTAACTGTAGCTCTGCAGTACTTTTTGTGTTAACTCTAGATCTGCAGTACTTTTTGTGTTAACTGTAGCTCTGCAGTACTTTTTGTGTTAACTGTAGCTCACAGTACTTTTTGTGTTAACTCTAGATCTGCAGTACTTTTTGTGTTAACTCTAGACCTGCAGTACTTTCTGTGCTAACTCTAGACCTGCAGTACTTTTTGTGTTAACTCTAGATCTGCAGTACTTTTTGTGTTAACTGTAGCTCTGCAGTACTTTTTGTGTTAACTCTAGATTTGCAGTACTTTTTGTGTTAACTCTAGATCTGCAGTTAACTCTAGATCTGCAGTACTTTTTGTGTTAACTCTAGACCTGCAGTACTTTTTGTGTTAATTCTAGACCTACAGTACTTTCTGTGCTAACTCTAGACCTGCAGTACTTTTTGTGTTAACTGTAGCTCTGCAGTACTTTTTGTGTTAACTCTAGATTTGCAGTACTTTTTGTTAGACCTGCAGTACTTTTTGTGTTAAACTCTAGACTTTTTGTGTTTGTGTTGCAGTACTTTTTGTGTTAACTCTAGATTTGCAGTACTTTTTGTGTTAACTCTAGATTTGCAGTACTTTTTGTGTTAACTCTAGATCTGCAGTACTTTTTGTGTTAACTCTAGACCTGCAGTACTTTTTGTGTTAATTCTAGACCTACAGTACTTTCTGTGCTAACTCTAGACCTGCAGTACTTTTTTGTGGTGACATCATTTTACATTATAATTAGGTCTATTATAGCTGTGCTAAATATTAAGATATTTTCTATATAAGTTGGCATAACATGTCTATTATATAATTATTTCATTTATAATAAATTTGGGTTTTTTTTTTTATTAATAATGAGTTACAGCCATAACATGTTTAGTTCCTATGTCTAAACTTTCACCTGTTGACCTCTTGCTATGATGGTTGTTTTTAAGCTGAAACAATATCATTCCATTGGTGTAGTTTTGAAAAAAATGAAATAATTAAGATACATGATTTAATCTTTTGCGGTGATGTTGAACAATAAAACAACAAAGATATTGCTATCATATTGCTAGGGTTGTGGACAACATTTAAGTTATATATAAAAGTATATAGATTTTAATATATTTCTGCTATTTTATACATTAACTCATATAGATATTTTGGCTTTCTTTATTGCTGTGGTTCTGAACAATACTTACCTATAATCAAATATTTATATATATATATATATATTACTTACTTTATTGATGTTATTTTGAACAATAATTCAATTATCTATTTAATTGGTTTCTGAATATGCTCTAATACAGGTTACATATTTTGACATTCTATTGGTTTTTTTCTTTAAACAATAAAACAATATATTTTTATTTGTCCATTCTATAGGCTTATTTCTTCTGATGAAGCGAGTACTTCCGAAAAGAAAAAATAGAATAATTTTGGTAAATGGAATGATACCAATGGTGTACTTATACAACGAAACAACACATATTGCTGTCATCAACAAATTCGTTGTATGGAAGTGTGAAATAACAAACACACACACCACACACACAAGCACACGCCCAAACACATCACATCACACATATATAAGCTTTTGTAACAATTAACAATGATCACATGACATATTTATCGTAAGGTAAACATTTCACCATAGCAACATCTATACATGTTTAAATCATCAACCTATCCTATTGACTTTATAAACATAACCACTTCCTTAATTATACACACAGTTGAAAACATTTTGAAAAGTGGGTTAAGGAGACTGGATAATGATTGAATTGGTTTGTGCATTTTGGCTGTCCCTTTCTAAGAAATATATACACACACATTTACTTACATGTATACAATACATTTGTACATATAAATACAAATTTAATCACATTCTGCACATAGCATACCAGGTATGTTTACAGGTAAATAAAATCAATTTGTTTATTGCTCATTCTTAAAATTATCACATAAATCATCAATCTGTTGGTAAATGGTAGAAAACAGGTGAGAATAAACTATATATAAATAAAACTCATAGTCAGTAGTTCATTATCAGGAACGATGGTTAATCCTGATACAGCTGAAGACAAACATATTGTACAAACCAGTATGACTAAAGAGAAAACACCTGATGGTGCCAGCATTTTTATCATTTTTTCTTGTATATACATATATACAGAAATATATGAACAAATAACAACATGTCAGTAGAAGTTAACTCAAACTGTGACAAAATATACTTATCTCGTTAAAGAAAAAAAATTCATAATATGGACACATAAATTTGTGAATTAGGAGTATCAGAAAATTAAAGAAAATAAATACCCACAAAAATGAATGATTTAACAGGATCTATTTCACCTTAAACAATGACATTATTTACATCCCACAAACAATGCTATACAGTCAAAAATAAATAAACAAACCCCTAACATCATAAGTATTATAAATATCATCTCTTGATTACTATAATGATTAATAAATCCTACATCAATGTATCATAATTAAACACATAATAAATAATCTCTCCCATTATAATTATAAACGAAGGCCAGTAATACAGTCATTACCATATTTAACGAAATAAGCACACCATGTCTATATAAAAACACAATTGGGTACATTTAAAATGTCATTTGAAAAGTGATGAAGCATGAAAAATTGATAAAAGAAAACACAATTTCAGTTAAAACAAATTATAAATTTCAGCAATATTATTAAGCGGCTAAGAACGTGTGAGGCAAACAATTTAAAAGGCTACATACTGTCCTGATAGGTCAATATCTTCAGCAACCTTTTTATGGCAGTTGAAATATCAGCCCATGAATCAGATAACCACTTTCCTTTGTACTTAAAGGGCTGGTGTGCTTATTAAGCTGAATACAATATATAAACTCAATTTCCATCAAATATCATTACATGTTAATGTAATCCTATACAATAATGACTAGTGTATCATTGGTACTCTACCTAGAGAAAACTATCAGCTATGAGTCCAATTAATTTCTAAACAATGTCATCAGCATTTTTGTATGTAATCAGTTATTCATCAACAGTGGTAGGCTAAATGAACATGTAATTTTCTCTCCAACTAATGGTTGGATAATTTTATTACTAATATTGTACATTAATTCAATTACACAAAACATGAACTATTAAAATCCACAACTTTTCAAAATCAACAGAAATAATCAGCCTTAAATGAATTTTTGTACAGACTTCTTTTACATAAGGTTTAAATGTTCTTGTACATAGAAGCTTTTCCTTTACAGCTCTAAATCTATTTAAAAAGTAGGAAACGGAATAAAATTTGTCAAACAGAACATCACTGTATGTCATTAAAACTAACAGAATGTATAATGCAGCCATGTATAATTATATTTTATGAAGTGTGAACTGTTAAAACTGATGGCCCCAAGTGCATGTATTGTCACCTGAGTTTTTACCATATCATTGGTATACCTTTCATGTTAATAACAGAACAAAGAATATGAAAAGGAAAAAATCCATTCAAATAAATAATTCTGAGTATTGAGATATAACGTTTTTTTATTTCATTTTTTCTCTGTAGATTTCATAGGCTTATTATCAGTAAAGTCATTCAACCCTTGCAGGAGGCCCTATATAAAAAATTCCTTTTTTTTTCATTGATCCCTTAGCATCAGTGATTTTTCAAAAATTTGTTCCCTTATGTGCTTCCGTTACAATAATCTAAATATCCAAAAGTTATATTTACATTCATTGAAAATTATTTCACTCCTTCCCCATAAGGATTGGGTGAAATTCCTACTGCAATCATAGTTTCGCTTGACAACTTGATCATCAAAGATCAGTTTCAGTAACTGTGGTGGACTTTTGCAATTTTTAGAAAAATTTCTCTCCTGCTTTGCCTCATTGTTTTAAGAGCTTTCATAGTCAAAGCCTGAAATTTACAAATTGCCTGTCAATGGCCATGAATGCTTCCTTCTAAGTGCCACTAAAATTGGTAGATTTTTTGGCATAGATCAAAATATTAATCATTTATGATGACAGTGAACAAAGACAAATTAAAGATGTCTTCAATCTTTGTTTAGTTGATCTAGTCAGTGAAAAATGTGCCCAAACACATACCAGGAAAAGATTTATTAGTCTCACAGCAGCATATCAAAAAGGTGATGAAATGTACAGATTTAATTTATCTCAAACAATACTTGTGTGATTTCACTTTTAGATTTTTTCTGACATATTTATGTATTGCTTAATTGCTGGTTAAAAAAGCCCACCTGTATCTGTTACAGCTTCAGTAAAAATGCCAGCAAATAACCTATCTCAGTTCCCACCCCTATGACCCAGTCAACGGTAATATGTATTCATTATGGACTAATATTACAGGATCAATACACTGCAAAATCACAGTTTCCAGGGCACTGGTTCACTAAAATAACAAGAATTCATGTAAAATTTTATTTTTTCAGTCCTTCAGTGGTGTTGAATTAAATCACATTATCTACATTTAACAATAAAAGACATTCCTATTAGTTTCAGGCAGGAAGTGAAAAATGAAGTTTAAGTGAGCAGTACTACATATTAGCTTCCATGTTGAAGAAACAGGACTTTTAAAAGATGGACTTATTTCTTAATGAAATTTGGCAAGATCAACTGCTGTCTTCCTTAATCTCTGTTAGAGGTATCACTTCTGGTTTCTGTTCTCCCTCCACGGCCCGCTTCAGCTCCATTCTTCCTTTTCTCACCACAAACCATAACAATAGGAAAGTTATCAAAATCTAAAACACAAAACAGACAATAAAAACATTAGGTGGTGGAAAGAGTAAGCCTTCAAAACTGAAAAAGTATTACTGACATAATTTGATCAACAATTTCTAATAATTTATATCTGAGAATCTTGTAGTGGAGTACATCTGAGAATCTTGTAGTGGAGTACATCTGAGAATCTTGTAGTGGAGTACATCTGAGAATCTTGTAGTGGAGTACATCTGAGAATCTTGTAGTGGAGTACATCTGAGAATCTTGTAGTGGAGTACATCTGAGAATCTTGTAGTGGAGTATATCTGAGAATCTTGTAATGGAGCACATCTGAGAATCTTGTAGTGGAGTACATCTGAAAATCTTGTAGTGGAGTATATCTGAGAATCTTGTAGTGGAGTACATCTGAGAATCTTGTAGTGGAGCACATCTGAGAATCTTGTAGTGGACTACATTTGAAAATCTTGTAGTGGAGATCATCTGAGAATCTTGTAGTGGAGTACATCTGAGAATCTTGTAGTGGAGCACATCTGAGAATCTTGTAGTGGAGTACATCTGAAAATCTTGTAGTGGAGTACATCTGAGAATCTTGTAGTGGAGTATATCTGAGAATCTTGTAGTGGAGTATATCTGAAAATCTTGTAGTGGAGTATATCTGAGAATCTTGTAGTGGAGTACATCTGAAAATCTTGTAGTGGAGTATATCTGAGAATCTTGTAGTGGAGTACATCTGAAAATCTTGTAGTGGAGTACATCTGAAAATCTTGTAGTGGAGTACATCTGAGAATCTTGTAGTGGAGTACATCTGAGAATCTTGTAGTGGAGTATATCTGAGAATCTTGTAGTGGAGTATATCTGAGAATCTTGTAGTGGAGTATATCTGAGAATCTTGTAGTGGAGTACATCTGAAAATCTTGTAGTGGAGTACATCTGAATCTTGTAGTGGAGAATCTTGTAGTGGAGTATATCTGAGAATCTTGTAATGGAGCACATCTGAGAATCTTGTAGTGGAGTACATCTGAAAATCTTGTAGTGGAGTATATCTGAGAATCTTGTAGTGGAGTATATCTGAGAATCTTGTAGTGGAGTATATCTGAGAATCTTGTAGTGGAGTATATCTGAGAATCTTGTAGTGGAGTACATCTGAAAATCTTGTAGTGGAGTACATCTGAAAATCTTGTAGTGGAGTACATCTGAAAATCTTGTAGTGGAGTATATCTGAGAATCTTGTAGTGGAGTATATCTGAGAATCTTGTAGTGGAGTATATCTGAGAATCTTGTAGTGGAGTATATCTGAGAATCTTGTAGTGGAGTACATCTGAAAATCTTGTAGTGGAGTACATCTGAAAATCTTGTAGTGGAGTACAAGTAATAAAGACAGGTGTTAAGAGGGACATCAAGAAACAAAAGAGAAAAAAGGAAAATATCAAGATCCTCAGTGTTGTAATGAGGGAAGCAGATCTATCTGGTTTCTTCAATGTTACATCTTAGAGGACAAAGACGAAAATCTCAGATTCTGTAGGGGACCCCTGCTTAGTCTCCTCCAACAAATATGTAACTGAATTTGGCAAACCTAATTTTGGAGCTATCCATACCATATGGCAATAGAGAAACCATCCCCATCCACAAAGGGTGATCTGCAATTTGAGTTGCAGTCTTAATGACATGCAATGAGATCTAACAGATAAATTCTTTCTCCATCACCAGCATGAGTCATGTGTGGTAATAAGCCCACCCATACTTATTGTTGTTCAGTAGATTATAACCAACTTAACTGACATGTAATAAGCCCACTTATAAGCTTGACTTTCAGTTAGAGGTTAAGTATTGGACCCACTTAACTTACTGCTGGATATAGACCCGTTAAAACAACTGTCGATAAACTCTTGTAACCTTAAATGTAGAATAATAAATGATATAAAGTTATTGAATGGTAGGAAAACTTTAGAATCCCAATAGTCAAAAGGTACTACCAAAATTATATTTTAAATGTCTCATGGAGGTATTAATTCTTTAAAAAATCAAAATGATTTGCAAATGCAATTTGAAACATTTCACATTTAAAATTGGGGAAATATAAAACACAAAAGTCTCTGAGCTCACATTTACTTTCATATCAAAATGCTAAAATCTGTGAAGTAGGGGAGATAACTCTTCCTATCCTAACAGTTATGACCTACAGGACACAAAAATCAGCATTATTTAGTCATGCGATCAGGAGTGTTAAGATTCATTAATTCTATTGAACTAAATATTTGTTTTCAATCCAGAAAGATTTAAATACATTGTATCAGTCAATAACATCCAATCTCCACACTTTACCAGAACCTGCCTCATACTTTACATTAAGAGAAAAAACATTCTCTATTTGTCCAATATGTCCTATTCCAATAGGATTTCTTTTGCATAAACAAATTACAGTTTCTGTTTCATATCATATCCCCCTTTTCTTTTGCCATTTCTTTAACAAATTTTGACCTATATAAAATGTCTTAAAGAACAACTTCAGTACTAATACAACTGATGGTTAATTTTGATGGACAGGACATTTTGAAGCATCTATCTTTATAGTATCCAACCTGAAGTATGCCTCTCTCTAATTGTACCTTTTATCTTGTCTTAAGCCTGATATATCTTTTTGTTATGATAATGAACAGTTTAACCAATTCTTAACAACATGATTATTATGGTTTAATTTTTTAAATCCAATCCAATTTTCATCTTCACAGCTTCCCTACATATATATAGATGTAACTTAAAAATTCTTTGTGTATCAATAAGATATTTGGAAAAAATGAAATCAACACGGCAAATGTATTCTGCTTACGTTTTCAGGCCTAATGGTGAACGATAACGTTATCTCTCCTTCTCCTATGTATTATGCATGACGTCACAATGTTGTTACCAAGACGAAATAAATGTATCGCCTGAAGATGGCCGTTAGGCCTGAAAACGTTAGCAGAATACATTTGGTGTGTTAATTTCATTCTTTTCAAATATATATATATAACACACACACTATATAGCTAGTACCATATTTATCTAGCAGTAAGACTATGCCCAGTAATAAGCCAATCAACAGCTTTACAATAGAAATCCCAATAAGTGCTATATTTTCACTATCCTGTAATAAGCCTGTCTCCCTACTTCAAGTCAGAAATATTAAACATTGGAAGTAAACCTACCAACACATATTTGTTTCATACGAATGCCAGGCATTGCCTTATAGTAAACCTACTTAAGATTATCTGTTCCAAAAGAAATGTCACTATCCTATAATAAGCTACCAATATCAGTTTCAATAGATATGTCAGTCACTGTCCTGTAATAAGCCTACCAACATCAGTTTCAATAGATATGTCAGTCATTGTCCTGTAATAAGCTACCAACATCAGTTTCAATAGTAATAAACTACCAATATCAGTTTCAATAGATATGTCAGTCATTGTCCTGTAATAAGCTACCAACATCAGTTTCAATAGATATGTCAGTCATTGTCCTGTAATAAGCTACCAATATCAGTTTCAATAGATATGTCATTGTCCTGTAATAAGGCTACCAATATCAGTTTCAATAGATATGTCAGTCATTGTCCTGTAATAAGCTACCAACATCAGTTTCAATAGATATGTCATTTTCAATAGATATGTCATTGTCCTGTAATAAGCTACCAACATCAGTTTCAATAGATATGTGTCATTGTCCTGTAATAAGCCTATCAGTTTCAATGTCATCATTGTCCTGTAATAAGCCTACCAATAGATATATGTCAGTCATTGTCCTGTAATAAGCTACCAACATCAGTTTCAATAGATATGTCAGTCATTGTCCTGTAATAAGCCTACCAACATCAGTTTCAATAAATATGTCAGTCATTGTCCTGTAATAAGCTACCAACATCAGTTTCAATAGATATGTCAGTCATTGTCCTGTAATAAGCTACCAATATCAGTTTCAATAGATATGTCAGTCATTGTCCTGTAATAAGCTACCAACATCAGTTTCAATCATTGTCCTGTAATAATATGTCATGTCAGTCATTGTCCTGTAATAAGTTTCAATAGATATGTCTATTGTCCCAACATCAGTTTCAATAGATAATAAGCTACCAACATCAGTCATTGTCCTGTAATAAGCCTACCAACATCAGTTTCAATAGATATGCAGTAATAAGCTACCAACATCAGTTTCAATAGATATGTCAGTCATTGTCCTGTAATAAGCTACCAACATCAGTTTCAATAGATATGTCAGTCATTGTCCTGTAATAAGCCTACCAATATCAGTTTCAATAGATATGTCAGTCATTGTCCTGTAATAAGCCTACCAATATCAGTTTCAATAGATATGTCAGTCATTGTCCTGTAATAAGCTACCAACATCAGTTTCAATAGATATGTCAGTCATTGTCCTGTAATAAGCTACCAACATCAGTTTCAATAGATATGTCAATAGATATGTCAGTCATTGTCCTGTAATAAGCTACCAACATCAGTTTCAATAGATATGTCAGTCATTGTCCTGTAATAAGCTACCAACATCAGTTTCAATAGATATGTCAGTCATTGTCCTGTAATAAGCTACCAACATCAGTTTCAATAGATATGTCAGTCATTGTCCTGTAATAAGCCTACCAACATCAGTTTCAATAGATATGTCAGTCATTGTCCTGTAATAAGCTACCAACATCAGTTTCAATAAATATGTCAGTCATTGTCCTGTAATGTATCAGTTTCAATAGATATGTCTATTGTCCTGTAATAAACCATCAGTTTCAATAGATATGTCAGTCATTGTCCTGTAATAAGCTACCAACATCAGTTTCAATAGATATGTCAGTCATTGTCCTGTAATAAGCTACCAATATCAGTTTCAATAGATATGTCAGTCATTGTCCTGTAATAAGCTACCAACATCAGTTTCAATAGATATGTCAGTCATTGTCCTGTAATAAGCCTACCAACATCAGTTTCAATATTGTCCTGTAATAATATGTCAGTCATTGTCCTGTAATAAGCCTACCAACATCAGTTTCAATAGATATGTCAGTCATTGTCCTGTAATAAGCTACCAACATCAGTTTCAATAGATATGTCAGTCATTGTCCTGTAATAAGCCTACCAACATCAGTTTCAATAGATATGTCAGTCATTGTCCTGTAATAAGCCTACCAATATCAGTTTCAATAGATATGTCAGTCATTGTCCTGTAATAAGCTACCAGTATCAGTTTCAATAGATGTGTCAGTCATTGTCCTGTAATAAGCCCAGTTCCATTAAACTTTTTATAAGAGCCAATGTGAAATACCCCTGGTATTACCATCAGTTTCAATAGATATGCTAGCCATTGCCCTGTAATAAGACCCAATTTTCTTAACTTTAAATTCCTGGATATCACAATGATAATCCTACCAACATATATCAGTTTCAATTGAAATAAATTCTATCATATCCTTCCTGGTATTAGAATAAGCCTATTTCCTTAAGAAAAGATACTATGAGTCAAAAATGATATGATATACTCCTGGGCTTATTTATGGATAAATACAGTATACTCCTGGGCTTATTTATGGATAAATACAGTATATCCGTGGGCTTATTTATGGATAAATACAGTTTATCCATGGGCTTATTTGTGGATAAATACAGTTTATCCATGGGCTTATTTATGGATAAATACAGTAGAATCCTGGGCTTATTTATGGATAAATACAGTATACTCCTGGGATTATTTATGGATAAATACAGTATATCCGTGGGCTTATTTATAGATAAATACAGTTTATCCATGGGCTTATTTGTGGATAAATACAGTATAATCATGGGCTTATTTATGGATAAATACAGTATACTCATGGGCTTATTTAGGGATAAATACAGTATACTCCTGGGCTTATTTATGGATAAATACAGTATAGTCCTGGGCTTATTTATGGATAAATACAGTATACTACTGGGCTTATTTATGGATAAATACAGTATAGTCCTGGGCTTATTTAGGGATAAATACAGTATACTCCTAGGCTTATTTAGGGATAAATACAGTATAGTCCTGGGCTTATTTATGGATAAATACAGTATACTACTGGGCTTAGTTGTGGATAAATACAGTATACTCCTGGGCTTATTTATGGATAAATACAGTATATGCTATCCATATTTATTGATCATAAACAGACTTATAAACACTGTTTACACCATATGGCACATACGTCTATTATCCAGCATGTATTGTCATGACCAGTGGGACAAAAAATTGAAAGTTAAACAATCTTATATTCAAACATGGTTGACCCAAATACCAACGTGTATATGCATCATGTTCTCAAGTTTAATATAGCTTGTCATTTGGATAAATTCAATATCACAGCCATGGAAAACATATGATATACCCTGAATTACGACATCCTGCACAACGCAGTAAATGTGAAACTATGAAAGTATATTACAAATTTAAGAAACATGCTGATCTTTTTAGTAATTTTCAACCTAAAAAAATGTGAAACATTAAGTTAGATGAGACAGGATTTCAGAATACTCAGGGCTTGGCTATGACGGTTTTCATTGAATTTAGTGATTTTTAAGAAGATCTCCCCTAATATATAATATTTGTGTGCATGGCAGTCTGTCGTATTAAATTACATATGATATATATTATCACTAGATTAATATATTAAAATGTGTTTAAGTGAGATTTGAGAAACTTGTTTTTTCGAAAATTAAACACATCAAAGTTTCATCATTCATTGAACTACCTAGTAAGTACAGATAAACAATTTAAAACAAATGTTTTTAGAAAACACGGTGAGATTTATAATTAAACGAATAGATTTATCATTTAAAGAAAAATACTGAAAATTAATATTTTCAGAATCTATATTAAGCAGTCTGCTATATGCATAAATAGTTAACAGATCGTGTCGTAATTAAAATTACAAAATAAATAAAGCTTATAAATTTTATTATAATAAAGTATATGTTATCTGCTGTATATCAGTCTTTTGTAATATGCCTACAATAAAAATAAATATCTTCTGCACTCAAACTAAAGAGTTTTCTGCATTGTTGCTTATATATACCACAGTCAGAACACAACATTTGCCACGCTGTCTTCCCCAATGGAAACATATAAATTTCAATTGTTTTCAAATCTTTCTTATCACACCTATTGAAATTAATTCCCAATTTCTAATTACGTCTTGATCTCTTTAAAATTCAAAGTACATTTATTCGTGAGGGAGAAAATGCCATTAAAACGTCCGTGTTGAGAGCACGCTAGCCGTTCCAATGGCATGAGATGTTGAACACATCAATAGGAACTGCACCAGATTTCACACGTCAGGATCTGCCATCGTAATTCTTTACAATGCAGATAGAACTACTAGCTCAGACTTGCATGTGTTGCCTTTTGGATCTGACTGGAATCAATATCTAATTTATAGACTTTATACCTATCTTCCTGTGAGAAACAAGGATGGCTACCTGTGTGGACTTTAACTTACAGCTTTTCACTCCCATACTATCGTTTCATTATATACTTCATATTTCATTTACATCCAAAATACAGATAATTTTTCTTATTAGATAGAGTGATTATACATCAGATCTTGATATATTAATTATAACCAACTTGAACTGCTAATATATTTGAAATCTTTTTTTTTCTCTTTTCCTTTTGATGATTTTATCAAATCCATATTTTTCCAATATTTGTGTGTGGTCTACATGAAAATATTCAGATTTTGCTATTTCTATATTAAGATTACATAATTTCTTACTTTACTGAATTAAGAATAATTCATTTTGATGTCTACGGTAGAATAGAATTGTCTCTCTTTTTTTTGCCTCCTGTAAGATGTAATCATTAGTTTTACAGAAGTTTTAAAATAAACTTATCCTTCAATAGATATATCTGATCGTTTAATGTTTGGGGGACTTATGTAACCAATAAATGATATCTATGTAGTATCACTGAAGTTCTGAGACTTTCCAAACAATAACTGTGATGTATGGGATAATGGTGTAGCAGTAACACACTCGCCTGACTTAAACTTATCAACTATTGTATGTGAAGTTAGGTATTGAATCACCTGCCCAACCACATGAGATTTCCCTGTGTTCTCAGATTTCCTCCCACACTAAGATCCCTCATGCGCTTTCATCACGACCAACAAGAGTGATTAATATAAGTTGAAAATATTGTTTTGCAATTGTTATTAAAAAGATATGGTATGTATCAAAACTATTACACACCTTGGATCTGAAATATTAAGATTTACCTGTATAATGAATATGATATAGCCAGTAGTTTTATTGGAGTCATCGGACAGCACATCTTCCATGGACCGCACTGTTGTCCCCATATAACAGTTTAAAATGGATGTAGGCACCAAACCCAGGATGGACGAAGCTATATAGGTTAACAAGTGTATATCTGTCAGCTGCAATGAGAAAAAAAAAAAAAGAAAAAAAAAATTAAATTTTATGAATCACAGATATAATTATACATTTACTTAGATTTTAAACTTAAACAAATCTATCCAACTTTAAAACCAGTTTGTAATCACGTATCCAAATATATCTAAATTTGCTACTTAGCATATTTTATTGCTGACAACACTGCATTCTGTGGATATGCAGGAAAATTTTAAATAATATTTATTGTATAATTGCATTCAACCCTATAACCTTACTCCAAATACTTAATTTTGATAAATGGAAAGGTGTGCTTTGATTGAAGCTTGTGAAAGGGTAACTTAATACAGTAATCTTCATCGATATACCAACACAGGAGTTAGTGCTTCACCTCTGTTTTTCAAATATTCACTTACCTAGCCATTTCAAAATTATATGGGTGAAATAAGCAACTATTTTTCATTTCTCAAATTTGAAACAATTTCATTTCATCATGTCTTTGGATATTTCATTAAGAAACACCTTCCTGTTTAAGTATTATCAGCTGTGATAATGAACTTTTTTGTCAGGTTTCATAGTAGATTTTACATTGTAACCCAAAATCTACAACAACAAAAACATTCCATTAATATTAAGCTAATATAGACCCCCATTCTATAAAATTCTGGCATTTGTGGTGTTTTAGAGGAAGTTTGTTAAACAATTCTCAGAATTTGCTTTTGGAAAAATCTGCTGCGCTTGATTGCAGGTCTCCAAAAATCAGTTCAGAAAGCTTCTAACATCTTCTAAATAAATGTTTGCTGTTCAAGAAATCAAGGACAAGGAAATTAACCTATAAGTACCCACGTTAATGATAGTACATGTAGCTGTCCTGATATGGTAATGTAATTGCCCCAATTCCAATGTAAAACAAATTCTCACACTAAATGTTCATCACACCCTCCATAAAAATGAATTAATAAGTCAAAGGACAAATGAAAATGACTACATTGTGTCCCGAGGGTCATTATATATATTATGTGTATTGGTATGTTGATGATCTTCCAGATTTTTCTGCCATATATTGACCCAAAGTAAACCATCTTGTATGCAATGTTCTAGTAAAGCATAGAAATAATGAATATCTTCAGATGAATACCAGTCTCCCAAATTTATCATTTTTATCTGAGGACTATTGAGAACAAAGACCAAAAGCATTGCTGAATGATTTGTGTAGAAAAAAAAAGATTAAAAATTCCACTCTTGTGAGCAAAATCTTCCTTCTTGAAGTTTGAAAACAAACTTAGACACGAGGTATCCAAATTCTCAATTTTTCATTATTATTTTCATTTAAAATGCTTCTAAGTTGTGACTTTGACATTGCTGTTGATTCTGGAGTTTAATTTGTTGACAAGAGCATACCATTACACCAAATGTTACAGAAAGTCTACATGCTTAATTAGATATGACAGAGTTCCACAAAATAATTCATTTTTTATTTTTTCCTCCACCATTTGAAAATATTCACTACCATGTACAGTGTAACTGGGGACAGCTTCAGTTTGAAATTAAATAAATTTATCTTAAAACCATAACCCTCTTATCTATCCTACAATAAATCTATATGTACACTTAGGTCTGACTCAAAGTCAGAGAGTGGGCTTATTACAAGACCATGATATTGCTAGTCATTTTAGTAACAGGGAAAGATAAGACTTGGCTTTTTACAAGACAAAAAGCTCATAGTCAGATGAATAAACAAATGTATTACTGATCAAAGTTCATCTGAAATATCTCATCTAGAAACAAACACTGAATAATTTGCAATGGTAACATTATCAATATTGATTGAGATAGCAACTGATTAGGGCTATAAGGAAAACCAATAGCTTTAGATTGTCTCTCAGTTAAAATGTAATTTGGAATGACCAGGTTACAAAAATTATTTGCATATACAAATAGACTCGAGTATATGTATATAAGTAAACTTCAAGGTCTATTGCTATACATCATACTAAGGCTAGTTGCAGCATGTGACTATATTGTTGAAATTCATATTTTAATGTGGTCAATCTTGACCTAAAGATAGTGACCATTGTCCACATATGTACTGTGCACTCTGTTTCAGGTGGGTTGACATCAGCCTAAGGGTTACATTTGTACAAATTTATCATATATACTGCGTCTAAAAGTTTACCTTATTTATCCTGATTAAAGCCCTGAGATCAGTCTATAGACTCTGTCACAGTAAATCACCAACATTTAATAGTCAGAATATAGTTGATGATCTGCCCAAACCTGACTAAACATCATAAGCTTAAATCAATTAAGGTGTGCTTTTTATTCCCCTCCCCCTATGAAATCCTAGATAAAAGATATTTTTGGAAAAAGATATTGTGTTTAAAAAATTAACTGCTTATTTTACTCTATGTGTCCCTTTCATGTAATTTTACATGATACACATTGAAGGTACAGACATGAAACATTAATAACAAGCAGAAAGTTTCAAACAACCACAGAATCAACATTTTTACAACTGAAATAAATTAAATTGTTGAAATTAAAGTCTAGAAGATGAAATTCTTTGAGTTGGGCTGATTTTGATTGGTCAGTTCAGGTTGGGCAAACAATCTTATTTTTGGATTTATTTCAGCCTCAGTGCAATGATTAAATAGTTGATGAAAAATGTGAAACTTCATGAAACTTGAATTGATAAAGATTAATGGATGGGCTTATTACTGATGAGGTGAACAGCTTATTGTTAGTTTGATATCAAAATCTTGTATTACATTTTATTTCAAAATAATCATTGAACTATTTTCACTGTAATAAAAGATATTGCGACTGACATTTGAAAAATGTGGACTACAATAATTATACCCAGAAAACCATGTGAGAGTTAGAATTAGTTAAGAATGAGTCTTCAATACTAATGGTCATTTACTTCAAAGTGATAACTGAGAGCTGTGTCTCCCCAATACTGAAGAAAGCATCTGAAATTAAAATGGTTTCGATCAAATCTGAATGACCAGCAAATTCATTGACATTTATCAGTTTGAAAATGATTATATTACATAGCGAAAAACATGATAAATTTTAATTGAATAAGATACTACTTGTTACTTCTTTAAAATCTTTTCCGATAAAACAGCATAATGAATAAGTCATAAAGTTAATTAGTAAATTATCTATGGCTTAGAATTCGGCAAAAACAAGCCAAGTACAAAGATAGAAAGATATCCTGTTGTTGGCTTGTGTTAACAGTCGCAGTACAATAACTTAAAATAAATTGACAAGGTAAGTGATTTTCTTAGTTTACGATAACAGACGGACAGATAAGTGATAAAGATATTGTGACCTAACTACGTCAATGGCCGACACAAACTCTGCCGGTCTATTGATTTTCATGGTTGTTAATCTTTAAAACAACTGCAGGTGAGCCGAACACAACTACACAATACACAAACCTACTGATTTGCTGTGTGGAGGAAACAAGTAAAGGGTAAAGGGACGGAGATTGAATGACTTCAACAAGTGAGTCAGATGCCAAGGATTATTGGAAGGGGAGGTAACTGTTGGGGGGGGGGAAGGTTCATGCAGACAACATCCTATTTTGGCCCCGTTCCTTCAGACTTCTATAGGAAACTTTCACATAAGCCTCTTATAATTCATTCTGTCTCGTAAAAGGATTGTTGTTTACGTGTATGGTAGCAGACGGCGAATGAATGCATCGAGCACGATGTAGACAACAATGACCTCAGATCATTTTCTGTTTTCGCTCTTTATGGTCGCCACATACAGTATAGGTGTTAATACAAAATGCACAGTCTTTCTTGTTAACAAAAACATACAAAGTTGTAGGGATTTCCTTTATAATAGAGCTTAAAACATTTTCTAATAAATATATTCATACCTACATTTACCATTAATTCTGTATGTCTAGACTTATACCTACTAGTAATGATGTGCTAGCTTCTACTACTTAAAATGGCTCTCTCCTCTTAAATCTCTAAAACTTTCCACAATCATTAAAAGATATCACCATTCAGTTAAGTCTGTTGACTTATTGTAATATGACCACAGTAAAAAGGGAAATTCATACACATAAAAGAGGCCTTTAGGGGCTGTAAATAGTGCATATGTGTCATTTTAAATTATTTAAGCTAAACAATAAATATTTATCACTCAAATTTTGGAAAGAACTCTTGCATTCCATTCTTGAAAAGAAGATGAATTAGACAAGGCCGATCTGCAAAGATTTGACCATTTAGATTACAGCAAAGAATCCTGATCACTTTGAGTTTGAAATATTCATAAGATTTTAAAAATAAAAATCCAAGCTAACTATAAAGCAGTTTAAAATGTCATATCTAGACTGTCACAATCCTCGAGCCTGAGTCACTGGTCTTCTCTTGGCTTGGTAAATAGTTAAACTTCACCTTTTACAATAAAGCTCCTGTAAAATTACATATTCTAAAGAGGAAGAAATGCACTTCTAACTACAACTGACCCAGTTATAAATTATCAGGAATTGTATAAATATTTGGATAGCCATTATCATGCATATATTTGCCAGAAGCAATACATTTACAGTATATTCAATAAAAGCATTACATTATGTGGGCAATTTATCGAACAATTGTTACTCTTCTCCATCTATACTCACTGTGCCTCCAGGTTACCATTTGAACAATACTGATAGAAAATATCCACTTATACCTTATATATAACTGTAAACTGTCCATCTTTTCTACCAAGTAGAAACAATGTTACTTACTGTTGTAGTATTTCAACAACTTATTTGGTCATAAAATTCATCTTCAAGTAAATATACAGTAAATCTTTGGTCAGAAAAAAAAGAATATTCTCGAACCTGTTTGAATTAAATCTAATTATGCTTGTGGAAATAAATTTGACTATCAGAGTCGACACTGCCCAAAATGATGACAACTTGTGTTAATTATAATATGATTATCTTTTGAAACACTTACTGTACTACAATACATGTTAATTGACTGTTCAGAAATTTTAGGTATTATTTTGTTCT